CTTGTGAAAGGCTCGTCTGTTATTAAATCTGTCCAATTTTTAACTTTAATATTTAGTCGTTCAATGGCTTCATACGCATAAACATTGCCAGTGGTTTTAATTGCAACAATATGCGTGTGATCATTGAAAACTCTAAGTGTTGCAGGACAATGATATTCATCTATAAATTGTAGATGTATAATTTTAATAAACCATAATAAAATAATGATAATAATACAGTCAACTCGACCCAACGTTTAAGAGTCGACTGTAATAATAATAACTTGAAATTAATATATACCATTTGCATTCTTATGAAAATTAAGTTTAATCAAAGATTTAGATTCCAATTTTTCACCCGTAACAGGATTTGTACCATGTTTCTTTAGATAAGGGTATATATTTCTGAAATGTAAACGAACGCGTTAAAAAATATAGACAAACCCAAAATTGATATATTATTTATATAGTAATTCATATAATACCTCAGATCAAAAATTGTTCCATCGGGCGAACATACAGGATGTTCGAACGGTTGTAAAGATAATGAACAGTAATTGAATGGTAATCTTTTAAAAATTTGTGTTTTTTTCCTAGCTTGTATACCACCAAACTGCATTCCACCAAATTCACCAGACCACTCTGAATAATAAATAAATACATGAGTTAGATTAGTTAATTAAAATTAGCAAGTAGCAAATTTAACAGTTTTGATCTCTTACCAGAATGAGTGATGTACCTGCATTCATTTTGATGTAGAATTAGTAAAAGTGATTATACAAGGAGCTGAACATCAAAAAAAAAAATAAAATAAAATAAAAAATAAAAATTGTATTTACATTTTGTCAGTGCCTTTACCCATTTTTGTAATTGTTTTTTTAGACTTGAAAGAGAATTAGTTGAAAAATATCCACAAACCGAAATAATATATGCATGGTTGCGTATCACATTACTGCTATTGTGTCCATATTTATAATCAAGATATAGTGATAGATTAACCATTCAATCCGTAATCCGTAATCCGTAATCTGTACTAATTAATTTACGAGCTCGCAACATCTAAACATAATATATTCGATCGTAGATCATTATGAATGCTGACGAAATTATACGGCTAAAAAAGTCGTTGACGAAAGCGCTTGAAAGCGGAAGTACTAATGTAAGTTCATCTAGTTAGCAGTGCAATCGGCGTGTGGCTTGAATAATTGACCTTTACATACGAACATCCCAAATAAAGAATGTCCTTGACATATTGAATAGACTCAAGGAGAACTCCCCTACGAAAGAAGTTTTAAAGGTAGGAACGTTTAAGCTTGGCTGATTGTTAGAAAACTTTATTTTTTTTTTATTAAAACAAATTGGTCTTTTCCATAGAAAACAGAAATCGGTCTGATTATTGGAAAGCAACGCTTACACCCAAATCCCGAAGTAGCAAAGCTTGCAAAAGAAATTGTAAAGAAATGGAAAGATGCAGTCAGTCCATCTAAAGTTAATGATACATCTAATGGTTCTACAAAATCAGCCGTTCCGGAGAGTACACCTGGACAAAGTTCGATGGTTAATGGAAAACCATCGCCTGGAAAACAACCCAAAAGAGAGAACACACAAGATTCTTCGTCTTCATCACCACCTAATACACCATCATCAATCGACTCTGAAAAACGAGAACGTAGTTTTGATCGTGATCGCCCTCCTTATAAAAATACAAACAATTCTGCGAGAGATAAATGTGTAAAGATGTTATATGATTCAATGGTATTCGATTCATGCGCCGGTAAAACTTTATTTTATCTATCATTATACTAAAATCCATTATTTAAGATTTGACATTAATTTTTTCTACCACACTATTGAATATTTTAGATTCTGATATTATTCTTTTGCGAGCTATTACCATTGAAAAAACGGTATTTGATCAATTTGGGAGACAAGTAATCGACAAATATCGAGATAAGTTACGTGGATTGATCTCTAACCTTAGAGACAAAAAGAACCCAGGCCTTAGGAAACGTATTGTTGATGGGGAGTTACAGGCCGAAGCCTTTTGCACTATGTCCAAGGAAGTAAGTTATATACAATCGAATAATAGGAATAAAGGATACTTTTTTTGTAACAACTTTTATATTGTTGTAAACGCAAAAGGACATGGCATCAGAAGAGAAAAAAGCTAGAGACAATGAAATTCGGCAAGAAAATCTTTTCAAGGCACTTGGTGCTGGGCCAACACAAGCTGAAACTGATATGTTTCTCTGTGGGAAATGTCGTAATCGCAAGTGTACTTATTACCAGATGCAGGTAAATGTAGTTAAATAATTTGCATATTACTTTGCACAAATTGAATTTATTCACAATCGAATCTACATACCAGACTAGAAGTGCCGATGAACCTATGACAACCTTTGTTACCTGTACAGTCTGTAACAATCGTTGGAAGGTAATGTCTTTCAATTCGGTTCTTTGTGATTTCGTGTTTGATACAGTAATAAACATATATCTATCCCAAATTGTAAATTTTTAGTTTTGTTAAAGTCATAATTTAGAGTTTAGAACCGGGTTATGGTAAACCGGGTCACCCGTGTCAAGACGGTTGAATATGTGTAACCTCTAAAATCTGTTACTATTAATTCAAAATTTACACATTATTATTGTATTGTGAATAAACACCCTTTTTTTCTTAATATTTTATCTAAATGTTCAACCCCGCTAATTTACAAACTTTTGGAGGGACTATCTATTGTTGCGAAAATTTTGTTAAAAATTTTACTTTGTATAAACCTTCATTATTATTTTCTTTGCTTTGCTAATATGTAATACACTGTTCGACGTTCGATAGTACCCCAGGAATTCGTAGCGCTGGGTTTGGGTTATGTAAGATCGCGTTGCATGAATGACGTGATCGTCAATAGAGGTTGATTCACAAAATTAATTAAAAGTTTAATAATTACGTACGTACGCATATAGTACCATGCGTGACAAATAATTTAGATCAATTTTAGATCAACTTTTATTTATACAATTATGTGATGTAATATTACCATATAACTGAATAATCCAATATATAAGTGCATCGATCATTTAGGCGACCTGCACATATTTGGATTTAGAAAAATACTATTTTAATAGATATTAATAGTACACTGAGTGCTTGTAACGTTTTGTACGTTTCCTTGTGGTGCTTATTAGGTGGAAGTACCTAACCGATACACCAGCCAAGTATAATATCCAAGGAAATAAAACGCTAGTAAAAGTCGAATTGCACGCACGGGGACAGAAAACTTTCGTATTCCAGATCGACCGCATATCCCAATATTGGATAAATTAACAGCCTTATTTGAGGCACTATTGTTCGTTGATAACGATGTAAAACCCACAACGTGTATGACGAAGAGAGAATGCACTGCCTGCACCATCGTCTCTAAGTTTATGTTTGTGGATAAATTGATGTCAAGTCATGATAATTTCTTTAAGATCATTAAAAATTATTAAATCAAGTATAATGGTTGATTATTTTTTTTTAGTGCTTGTTGATAATATTTTTGTATTAAATAATTGGGGCTTTCTTGGTGATCCTTGATTATAAATATGAATTCTTTAAATAATTTATATAAACCAGAAACTTTGTGAATATCAGAAATTTTAATTTCATGGACAATTAAGATGATTTACACTTTATATTCACAAGTCAGAAATTCGCACGTACATGAACTTAAATATTCATTTGTTTGCATTGTTTACTGTAAATGTACACAGGAAATTTTGACATATGAAATGATCTACCTTTAGTCTAGCCCTGATGAATAAAATTCTTTAATGAAATGAAATGACATCTTTATTATCGCCTTTTAGTTCTACCAAAACCTTGAGAACTAATTGTTCTAGATCCACTGGATGAAGATGATGTGAAAGTAGTGGTTTCAGATCTAATAGGTTATATAAAATATTTTTTTTAAACGTAAGTTAAAATATATAATCATGGTAACAGTTAAATGATTGATTACCTAGGTCGTCGCGATCTACTATTTCTACCCATAAAATATCCTGCGGCTGCACCCACACCTAATCCTGTCCAAAAATTTTGACCCATATTTCCTGGTTGTGATGAATAGTAATCATACGGATCTTGTTCAATATAAATAAATTTGTGGTCAGCATAATTTAATTTTATACGGTATAATATAAAAATATTGACACAATTATCGAAAATGTACCATCTCTTGGGTAAAATCTTCCACCACCGCCTCCCGGCCGAAAATTTTGATAATGGTTATTATTTGGTCTATAAAAGATTTTTTTTATCATAGAAATGGAACCGTCAATTCCATTTTAGAATGAAATCAAAAATGCTCTAAATGAGAAGATACCTGAAATGTCTTCGTCTGCTTCCGGTAAGTGATGAAAAAATCTTATATAAAATAAATAACACCAAACTTATCCAGGCAATTTTATATATTATTGAAAATAACTTTGATTCTAATAAACCACGAAAAAAAAAAATTACAGGTGTTGCGTTAAATTCAATTTATATGCTTCCGTAACCAACCCACCCTTTATCTATGGATGCCAGACAAATACTGAAATATAAACTATACTTCTAAGACTGAATATATTTCTGTAATCATATGAATCATCGTATCGAAAGTATTCGTTATCTTCAAACCATTGGTGACTTTGATCTTTTTTCCAGTTGTTTTTATAATAAAGTGTATACTCAAGCCCACATGATCCTAAAGCATTTGAATGTTAATTAATTATTATTAGAAAATAGAGAGCAATAGCTTTGGAAACATACCTTGTAGGATGTACGGATCATCAGGATAACTATACCCTATGTAGATCAAAATATCAAAATATTTAGTAACAGTATATGCCACGTATCCATGAAAGACTTCAGATCCGTTCAACATATTCATCCAAATGGACAATCAATTTTGTCCAGCATTGATATTATCCGATATAATAAACTAGTCTGAATTGAGCAGATAACTATCGTATCATGCTTGTTCAAAAAATTTCTTACTCTAATACCCGAAAAAGTTCTGAAAAAATCTAACCCGTGTATATTTCCTACATACCTTCACAACTGACTGTCAACTACATAATGTTTTTAAATAAATGCTATTAATTTGGACTGTTGTTTGCATAAAACAATTGCGCACAAGCCACTATCAATACAGAAAAACCCCTTTAAATGTATCTGCAAAAATTCACATTTTTTAAATGCATCCTTTAAACGCATCGACACCATATTATTTCAGTTTAGTTAATTGATTATTGAAAGTGCTGAATATATGCTGGGTTATGTTAGCATTCTGCTTGCTGAATAGGTATTCAACTAGCTGAATAGGTATTCAGCTAGTTGAATAGGCATTCAACTAGTTGAATGCTAGCAGAATACCGACATACATTCAGCATTTTCAGTAATCAATAACTGAACTGAAAATAATATGTTGATTTTTGGCACTTTGACCAGTGGGAATATGTTAATTGCAACTTCTGATATCTAAATACACAGTTATATCTGGTCCCAAGGGTACATTTAGAGAAGTTTCACTGTATAAATAAAAACAGCATACAGGTCCAAATTTAAGATATTCAGGAAGGTCAGCATTGCAGCGCCAATTCGCATCTTAAAATAATATTAGATTCTATAAGTTTAGGTCAAATTTAATACTAATAAATATGAAAGAAATACTCTAAATACAAACCTGACCCATCGAAACCTGTGTTAGTGCATTGTATTACATCTAAAATGCGGGAATTAAAAATTAGAAATTTAGAAGCATAAATACAAATCATAAGATCGTAATCGATCAATAAATACAGACCTGGCATATACATGTGGCATGCATCACCTCCGACACAACGCAGTTGCTCAATTGGATCATTTCTTTGTCCTGTTGTTAGTTCCCCACGATGTAAGGTAATCGTTTTTACATCTTCAAGGAGGACTTTAGAGTTCCATGCCGCTTCACTGTAGCTAAAGCATAATAACGGTATAAAAATTTTAAGCATTTTTTGATATTAGTGATCAAAAAGTCAAAACCTGCATATAACCACTGTTTTATGTCAACTGACTGACTCATGTGTCATTAACTGTCATTAACATAAGGGTAGATCACTTTTGATTAACCTTAGAACAACATGAATCCTATTGACCCTATTTTTCCAGAGGTAGTTGTAGACTTGAACGGCCGTTCTATAAATATTATAGAACTGGCCAAACTTCATGTTTTGATTTTAATTACACTTAAGGTATTAGCAATTTCTAACTGTAATCTGCACTATGAGTCAAATTTACTTATTTTTTTTTTTTAATTTTCAAGGCAGCATGGTGTCCGGTGTGTCCACAACTCTTGCTAATCTTGAATCTTTATGGATTGCAAGATAGTCCACCAGAAAGCTTCCGAGATCCTTTCGACGGATCTATCATAATGAAAGTTCCTCCAGAAGAAATTCCAGTATGCTTGATTATTATGTCTATTATATTTACGAAGATACAATCTTGATACATTTTCTACATAAAAACAGTTCAACAGGCTTCTTTTAAGGACTGACGCATACTTTATAATTATTTGTCCTGGTCCTGCTGACGAAGTACGTCGGATACAAGAACTCTGTAATTTCTCTAAATTTCCATATCCATTTATTGTAGATGAGGGTCTTTCGCTTGCTTCGCAAATTGGACTCAGGTATTAATTTTTAACTAATTAAAAGCATTTTTTTAAAAATTGGTGTCTAATTTCTGATAGATTTTCTCATGAAAAAAGGATGTCACGTACAGAAATGTGGCCATTCATAGGGCATATAAATCCAGAAACACGCATTATTTTCCCCATAAGTTTAGGACGTGGCCCTGGGCTTTATGGACATAATCAGTTAATCAAGTATCTACATGAATATCGTATTCAAATTGAAAAGAGCGCGAGCTACCATATATCTAAGGCATCAGAATTAGAAGCACGTTTTAAAAAGGTAACATGTAACATAATGCCAATAGGAAACGTGGAAACTGAAGCGTTACAGAAACAGATATTTCCTATAGAGTTACTCGCGCAAATATTTGAGCACATTGAATCAAGAGAGATGGTGAAAACTGTCGTAGCTACATGTAGACAATGGAGAGCAATTGGATTTGATATAATAGCTATGAGAATGAAGCAAGCGGAGAATCGTGTGTTAGAATCTCTCGTTATATGTTCTCAGACAAAACGAAGTGACAGCGATAAAATAATATTACCAGCAGATAATAAGGCTATAAGTATTCATGAATTGGACTTACGCATTAAGGATTTGAATGGAATAACTGAGATTGTTCAGCGACTTGTTCCCCCGACTGATTTGATGGCTTTTATGATTATGAAATAAGTCAAGTTCGTAGTTATTAGTAAACATTTTAGTTCGAATTTACCATATTTTAAATTTTAAAAGTTCAGTCTATATTCTATTCTGCGACCGTTTTATTATTAATACACGTAATATGTTTTTTAAAATAAATGTATCATATTTTTACTCAAGAAGAAATTATTTGGATTTTGTAGACATTATTTTTTTATTTGGATTTCAAATAGAGAGTAGAATGAGTGAGGAATTGAGCAGAGATGCGCTGCTTAACGCTTTCAAAAATTTTTATTGAACTATTTACTAATTAAAGGAGTCGTTTTAAGCGCTAGAGCTTCAATTATTGTTTCAGCTGATACTGAGATTGGATGATACTAAGGATTGATCCATCTTAATAGGAAATGTTAAAATTTTTGGGGTGCATTTTTTGTCAGTTTGATTTTAGAGTTAAATTAGCGTTAGGATTTAATTATTAATAATATATGCGGATTTTAGTAAATTTAGCAGACTTAAATATAGACCCCAAATCTTGGCATCATCCGCGACAATTATTATGCCCTTACTTTTAAGTTTTAATAAAATCTATTTTTTTTTTAGATTAGAATCATAATTGCTTTTTAAATTTTCAATAGTGTTATTGTACTTTCGTTGGTATTACATAAAATGATAACTCTTCATGGTTTCAGCTTTTTAACATTCATACACAACAAGCCTTTTTTTCCATGAAACTTCTGTTTTGTAGTGCTAGTACCACTTGTAATGTAAAAAATCATACGTAGTCAAGAAAAGAGTATTATAAAATTGATATATAAATTATGATTAGGCTATACAAAATTAATTAATTGGTTTTCATAACCCGGCTGGGTCAAATTTTGATAACTTGTAAAAAAAAGGTTTTTTTATGTTTTAATAACCGGGTGGGATTTTAAGAAAATTTTATATAAAATTTGATATATGAAATTTAAAAAAAAAACCGGCCGGCCGGGTCTAGCGAACTCAAAATTTGAAACTTCATAATATATAGTTCGATATAAAATGTCATGTGTTAAGAAAACAGTAATGTCCTTCAATTCGTTATAGAAAAAGTAGACTGTAATTAATAAATAACCCTTTCGAAAAAAAAATAAAGCTTCCATTTTCCAAGCGAAATTAATAAAATAAAATAAAATCGGCTTGTTAAAAATACCGGTAAATGCAAAAGAATATGCACTACTTATATCGAATATTGTTGTATTTGGTAGTTCGTGGCAAAACTTTTCATTCTTTTTTAAAATTACTACTATGCCTTCTTTAGGCGTTTAATACAGGCTTTTTCAATAAATTGGTTTTGATACACAGCAGAACAAATGACATTTTGGTGTTTAGAAACGTTAAAAAAAATTTGAGTTTCTTTTTTTTCATGATGTGAGGTCTCAATTTAAAAATATAAAACCTAGGCTATACAAACTTAATTGGTTCCCGGTTCAAACTTTAAAAAATTTTTTTAAGTATGTTTACTATCCGGGTGAGTTTTTCTAAAAAATCTATCAAAAATTTTATATGCATGTTATGAGAACCAATTTATTAAGTTTGTATATATGGCCTAATTCAAATCCTCAACATCATCCGATTCCAAGCTTCATCCCTGACAATAATTATTACAAGTATCATATTTATGAAACTCGGTACGTAACTGATCTTGGTTATGCTAGGTTCACGTAACAGATTTTGATGGCGATATTAGATGCAGATGGTCCAAGGACTTGGAGAATATAAGTAATGGATCGGTCTGTTAATGGTTTATAAAAATATCATGTAATTTTAGACGGCTCCGGATTTAGATAGATTTAGATCGGTGCCCGTCTTGTTTACACCAATCCTGATTGGCTATCATAAATGATCAAAACAAAATAACAACTACTGATAATTAATGATGTGAATGGCTCAGCTCAGCTCGGCTCACGGCTAACATTTACTAAGCTAAGCCGATCCTTCGGCTCTACATCCAGAGCCGGGCCATTTATAAGCCGATCATCCTCAAGCCGAGCCATTTATAAGCTGATCACTCTCATATGATAAAGTTGAATACAGATATTAGATTATCTACTATTGGCTAATAAGAGCCAATATTTTATTAGTAGACCTATAGCCGAGTTGATGATTGGCTTCAAAGGTTTTAGCTAAGCCATTTTTGAAGCTGATACCTTATTAGTAGACCCATAGCTGAGCCAATAATCAGCTTGGCTTAGCTGTTGTTAAGCGGTGAATTGTAGAGTTTTATTTATTTATGTACAAAAAGATATAATTTTGGGAATAAGGCAACTCGCCAGAGGCGTGACTTTGGTGATTTGACAATAATTTGTTTATTAAAAGGAATTATCCGGATATTGTATTAAAGGTATTATGAATGAATTCTTGGAATCCCTCAGGATGTCCTTTTACTAACGCGAATTCTCAACTCTTTTATAGATTATTTTATCCTAACAAACTCAAGAGGCTTAAAGATAATTTTAATAATACATCAT